TTCCTATTTCCCTAAAGATTAGCTACTCCACCCCTACTGCCTCCCACCTGCCAAGGTCTCCCTTGGATGTTTTCTCTCATCGCCTGGCTATTTCCAAGGCCAGTTCCCCAGCAACTCCCTCAAAGATTATCTGCCTGTGACCCAGCTTTCCTCCCTGCTCCAAATTCAAAAAGGGGCATCCGGGAGCCTGTTTATTAAGTCCCCCTGGACTCTTTCTCTTTAGAAGCAAGCTTCTATTCAAGAAAATAGACACACCCCAGCTAGCACTTACTGTGGTAACAGTAGACCTACCCGTCTCAACTTTTCTACTCAGTTGCTGAAAACCACCAAAATTATCAACTCTATTTATCCAGCATATGAAAAATTATGTTCCGTCTCCTCTCCAAGTTATGTTTGAAAATCTACTTAAAATAATGGGGCACCTGGGTGGCTCAGTCAGTTAAGCCTCTGACTTCGGCTCAGGTTGTGATCTTACAGATCATGAGTTTGAACCTCGTGTCGGGCTCTACACTGTCAGCACAGAGCCGGCTTTGGATCCTCTGTCTCCCTCTCTCTGCCCCTCCCCTGCTCATTCTCTCTCTCTTTCTCTCAAAAATAGAGAAACATTTAAAAATAAATAAATGATATGGAAACCAATTTGACAACAAATTATATTAAAAAAATAAAAATAAATAAACAAAACCTACTTAAAATTAATAAATGAATGAATAAAATCTACTTAGCTTCACCCTAAGCAATGTTGGAAGAATTGTTCCTTTTTAATGTTTATTTATTTTTGACAGACACAGAGAGAGAGAGAGAGAGAGAGAGATCACAAGCAGGGGAAGGGCAGAGAGAGAGAGGGAGACACAGAATCCGAAGCAGGCTCCAGGTTCTGAGCTGTCAACACAAAGCCCAATGCAGGGCTCGAACTCATGAACTGTGAGATCATGACCTGAGCCAGTCAGACCCTCAACCAACTGAGCCACCCAGGAGCCCAGAACTGTTCCTTTTTAATGCAGCTATTTGTTGACATGTCATTTTTATATCAAATATTATGAGTGTTTTGGGATGGATGGGAGGGGGAGAGAGGGCCCTTTGGCCCTATTAATTTTTACAGCATTTCCCCCTCCTATTTACCTAAATTTGTGATTTCATGCAAATTTTATAAAATATTTTGTGTTATCCCCAGAGCCTGAACTCCACAGAAGCCAAAGGCCAACTCAATTTATGCTGCCCCTGAAAGAATTGTGGTTTGGAAAAATTACTCAGATGGCTCCCGAAAAAGTAATAATTCTTATTACTACTGCTTTTGTTCCTACCACAACATCTGCAGAGCACTTTGCAATTTACAAAGGGCTTTCGCACCTGCTACCTCTTTCATGGTCACTGTAACAGCTGTCTTATAGTTATGGTCCCACTCTCCAGATTATTATAAAATGAAGCACCGAATGCATTCCACAGGTTGTTATACAATGTAGCATAGAATACTTAAGCACACTGCCCTAGATCACAGACCTACCAATTTACAGACCAAGAATTCCAAAGACTTTTGCTTCATCCGGGCTTTCCGTTCATGCCCATGTCTTAGGCACAGGGCCCTCTCAACCAACACTGTCCCTTTGACTCCTTTCTCCAGAATGCCAACCTTCTTCTCCTGAGAAAGGTTTGACTGATTGTATATCCAAAACCACTTATAAAATAGAGCACTACCCACATTTCACTTAAGCTCAAAATGTTTTGTTTTGTTTTTTTTCAACAACATACTTCCTGATCGAATCTCTCTTATGTTAGTGACAGAAAAATGGACTAAATGACAGACACCAAGATCTTTTCAGAAGAATAGCTTTCGTTGTTTTGCTTATTTTTATCTCAGGTAAATATCTGGGAAATCACCAAAAATGAAAATATGTCTGAGATGGTCAATGTTTCAGAAGTACTTTTATGACTATCAATTTTTTTAATGTTTATATATTTATTTTTGGGGGGGGGAGGGAGGAAGAGAAAAAGCACGAGAGCAGGGGAGGGGCAGAGAGAAAGGGGGAGAGAGAGAGAATCCCAAGCAGGCTCCATGCTGTCCGTGCAGAGCCAGACTCAGGGCTTGAACCCACGAACCATGGGATCGTGACCCGAGCCAAAATCAAGAGTCAGACACTTAACCAATCGAGCCACCCAAGCGCCCCTGAGACCATGAATTTAAAGGTCCCATAAAATCGGAAGCTTGAGGGCATCTCTGACAGGAGCACTGCCAGCAAATATACTGAACAACAGCGTTTTCACCTGAGATTCAGTTTTGTCTCCTCGCATGCCCCCTACCTGGCACTGGACAAGATACCTGAGACGTCTGGATGCCACGGAGATAGGATGGCATAATCTCACCAACTGTACATGGAACTGCGACTTCCGAGTGTCCCAGGCCCTTTGCACCTGGCTTAGCAGCTGCTTAGACAAAATGAAAGGATTCCTCTTATGAAATTGTTGACATCATCGTTGCTGTTACTATATACTATTTATTGAACATTTACTACGTGTCAGGTAATAGGGTGAGCATTTCTCATATATTACTTCATTTTATCCACCCAACCCCCCAAGGAAGGTATTCTAATCCTCATTTTACACAGTAAGAAACTGATATTCAAAGAGATTAAGCAACTGTCCCTAGGCGACACGCTTTTAAACCAAAGGTCTTCCTCCAAAACTTGTATTTTGTAACATGATGCAATACTGTCTCCCAGGCGTGGAAAGCGAAGCCGTTGTTGCTTAATAGATTTCTGGTCATTTCAGTGGATATGTTTAGGGCTGGTATCCTACCTTGTTACTATAGTAAACTAAGGAAATCGAGTGGACAGGCCTTAAGCAGTCTGCAACTTTAAATTCTCAAGTAGTTGAACTTAGAGTAAGCAGGTCCCATTCCTATCCTGCCCTCCAACCCTCCCTGGCTGCAGATCATGAGAGTTGACTGTGAAGGCAAAGGGAGACATACTTGTAAGCGCTTTTGTTTTTGTCTTTTCTGAACTCTAGAGAGTATGAAAAAGTTTTAAACCTCTGGTAGGGATCCATCCTGCAAGACATCAGAAATCCATAACAGTTTCTGCCTCTTCCAAAGTTCAGGACAGCAGAGGCCGCAGCTAGTCACCCTGTGTGACCTGAATGAGTGGCAGGGGGAGCATCGCAGGGGGTGGAGGGGTGCAGGCAGAAAGGCTGCAGAGGGCTGGGGTGGGGTACGGTGACACAACACTGGTAAGGACCCGGCCAAAGAGCAGAATGGGCGAGCAACAACTCCCCACCCTTGGGAAGTGCTTCTGGCTTTTAAAAGATGCAACACCTTCATGGTCAATTGCATTTTCTCTGTGCATCTCTTGTTTGTAAGTGGCTACTGGGTGGCAATGGAAGAACATAAGGGCTGCTTGAAAATCAGCACAGAAGGAGGGCTCTCCGAAGAGAGAACTGATGAGCTGAGACCAGAGTGATAAGGTGAAGTTTTAATATCACACACTACGGAGAGGCCTCTGAAAATGTGTGCTCATGCATGTATCATGTGTGCAAGGCTCTTCATGCTATAGAAAGGCAAACATCTGAAAAGTATAGAATGTCCTCCCTTGGGCAGTTTTCAAGATGGTTTTTCTTATGTATGAATTTTGTTGTATCAAATGATGTAGGAAGGAGAAAAGGAAAAGAGCCTACTTCCTGTGTCAGATAGAAGTGCCACACCGTGTCACCTTACACTATATAAACGTCCCCCATCTATCCCATTACACTAGGAGATCATCGATGCCATTACGGGAACTCAGCAGATGAAAAAACAGGGGCTAAAAGAGTTGACTCATATGAGGTCACGTAGCTCGTAATTGGCAGGTCAGGATTTCCAGCGGGTCTGGCTGACTTTGAAGAATGGCCTTTCAAGGTGGCTGGCTGGCTTAGTTGGTAGAGCATGTGACTCTTGATCTCAGGGTCATGAGTTCAAGCCCTGTGTTGGGTGTGGAGCCTACTTAAAATAAAAAAATAAATAAACAAAAATAGAAGAACCACATTTTCCAGTCACCACACTATTGCTGATGGAAGTTGGGCCACCAAGGCTGAGAAGCTTTTTGAAATAGAGAAATTTTGGTCTGGAAATATGCTGTGTAACAGAATTTGTCATATAGAATCTTTTTTTTTTTTTTTAAACTTTTATTCAGTTTTGTGAGACAGAGGGAGACAGAACACCAGTGGGGAAGGAGCAGAGAAAGAGGGAGACACAGAATCCGAAGCATGTTCCAGGCTCTGAGCTGTCAGCACTGAGCCCAACATGAGGCTCAAACTCACGAACTGTGAGATCATGACCTCAGCCAAAGTCGGGCGCTTAACCAACTGAGCCACCCAGGCGCCCGTCATATAGAATCATATAGAGTAGTCAACAAAGACCTACCTCATTGTTAATTCTCCTCTGCTATCATCCAAGAGCATTGGAGTAGTACTGTAACAAGCAAAGGGTGATGAGTTTTATAATAGAGACGGGTAGAAGGTGATAATGAAACACAAATGAAATGAATCTTTTTTTTTTTTTTTTTTTTTACTGTTTTTTTATTTATTTTGAGAGAGAGAGAATCCCAACCCGGCTCCATGCTGTCAGTGCAGAGCCTGATGCGGGGTTCGATTCCTCAAACCCGTGAGATCACAACCTTGGCCAAAATCAAGAGTTGGACTCTTAACCAACTAAGCCACCCAGGCACCATAAATGAAGTGAATCTTGATGAATGACTAGGAGTGTTCAAGCAAGGAAGGACACTTAGCATATATAAATCCATTTGCATAACTCTAAGCCAAATCAATAACTAAGCAAGTAAAATTTTAGAAATAAAATCAAAGTGACTTAGATGGGAAAGGCATTCATTTTCTCAGTAACAGCAAATCTAGAGGTAAGGCGGCCACTGAAGATATCCAAACCAGCTTCCTGCCATGTTTCCACCTGTCATCTTCACTGTGGGTTGTCTTCTCAGGCAGATGCTCTTTGTGGTGGCAGCCACAGTTCAGGGTATCTCTTGGTGATGACAGTATCCAGAGGAAGAAAAGGGATATGGGGGTGATCCTTCCCAGAAGCATTCCCATCAATCTTCCCATCAAACAAGACTCAGCCTCCAAATCTAGGAAGGGGCTCACCATCCCCCAAAGTCATGGCTGCTTGGAAAAGTCAACAGCATTGAGGTCCTGTTGACAAGGGGGGTGGTTATAAGAAAGCAAACAACAATGTGTGCCACAAGCATAAAGACATATAAAAAGATGGCATTCTGGAAATGATAAATCATTAGGTCTGAAAACATCAGGAATTATATGCCAGTGTTTGGCGGTATTTTCTGGGCCAGTAGTCCTCAAGGTCTTAAAGACAGTGAAATATCAAACCATTCTGAGAGGTTTTCATTATTTTTTTCAAAAATGGTAATCATAAAATTTCCTTCAAAACCAAATGGTTAAAAAAACAAATACAGCAATACATATGGTAAAAATAAAATGAATTTAGTTGGATATCACAATGGTGATGACATAATAGTGTATTTAATTTGCATTCTGATATTTGTACTTTATGATTGTACTTTATGATAACAATAGTTATGATTCTCTTTAATTGGAGAATTCAAAGAAGCCTAAAAGATAAAATAAAAATCATTCATAAGCACATCACTTGGCTATAACTACTTGATGTCAAAGTAGGGTCTTACATACCTTTTATACAGAATTACAGTAGTGACTTTTTTTTCTTTGTTAGAATGCACTTTGAAGTCAATTTCTTCTTATCACAATTTTCTGACAAATTTTCTACAAAATAAAGGCAAGCTACTGCTGGTCAGTTTATAGAAAAAAGCAACACACTGGCTTATAAATTATAGAGTACAATCGATCACATTAGGAAAAAAAAAGAGCAGTATCACTATTGTTTTGTTTCTGTTTTCCCCTAAAGAGGTGAATTTCTGTTGACTTTCTACTTTATGGAGCAGGTTACCTAAACCCAGACTCCAGAACAGAAGTGAGGCAAGCAGCAAAGAAGCAGGGACTTCTTCAGTGTGGTTCTGATCAGGAAGGATGGGGGAGGGGTTGCAAGAACTGGGGCCACATCTCATTCCAGCAAGATGCAGCTTTCACCTTGAGAGTGGTTATGGGTCAAGGCATCAGGGCACCAGCACTAAGAAAGGGATAAGGATGCTCTCGGGACGCCTGGGTGGCTCAATGGGTTAAGCATCCTACTTTGGCACAGGTCATGATCTCATAGTCCATGGGTTCGAGCCCCGTGTCAGGCTCTGTGCTGACAGTTCAGAGCCTATAGCCTGCTTCGGATTCTGTTTCCCTCTCTCTCTACCCCTCCCCTCCTTGCTCACTCTCTCTCAAAAATAAATATTAAAAAAAAAAATTTTTTTTAAGGGGGGGATAAGGATGCTCTTGTTGGAACCTTCAGGAAGGTTGTGTCTGTCCCATGTGCCTTCGTAGAACAACCACTACCAGGGGTCAGGAATGTGCAGATTTCTTTAATTTTTCACTTCCAATATGAAAAAGGAGATCTGAACATCTCTCCATATAGTAGCAAACTACAGCAAGACTATTTTTTTTTTTAATGTTTATTGATTTTGAGAGACAGAGAGCGCACACACACACGTGCACGTAAGCAGGGGAAGGGCAAAGAGAGAGGGAGAGAGAATCCCAAGGAAGCTCTGCGCTGACAACAGTCAGCCCAGAGCAGCAGAGCCCACCGTGGGGCTCGATCTCAGGAGCCAAGAGATCATGACCTGAGCAGAAATCAAGAGTCGGACACTTAACCGACTGAGCCACCCAGGTGCCTCAGGACTATTCTTTTAAATGTCAGGACCTGTCTAGGCAGGAATCTATCATGAAGGTTTTTGTTTTACCTTGTTTTTTAAGTCCCCTTTGTCTTTCCAGGGAACTTGATGGTTTTAATAACTAAGAGTAAAAGCTGTCAGGAGGATGTAGAATTCCAAGGTTCTTTTGGAAGGTAAGCAGAAACTAAGTTATTCAGAATCTCCAAAGCCCTAGACTTTATGCAAGACTTTGTCCTGTGGGCAGACCTGTCAGCTGGAGAGTGACAGGTTCTGGTCAGCATCTTGAACCCTTGCTCTAAGTGTATTCAACAGTGTGGGAAGCAGGGACAAGACAGACCCAGTGAGACCAATTAGAAGAGTATTTCTCAAAATATCTTGGCAAACAAAATTCAATCTTTCCTGTTGCCCAGAATGTACACAGATCTGGATGCACACACACACTGCAACAAGGTCCAGGAAACAGTACTTACTTTGTTTGACACATCTCACATTTTCTAATCCACTTCATTTTTTAAATGGTGAAACCGTATGACCCACCTCAATGGATTTCATGACCCCTGAATAAGTCACAACTGGTAGTTCGAGAAACTGTGACTTAGGAAGTTGCTGTGAGCCTCCAGAGGGGAGGTAATAGGATCTAGGAAAGCAGAAAGCTGGATGGTAGGAGGTAGAAGGATTCCAGACAGATTTAAGAGAAGACAGAAGGTCTCAAAGGAATTAGAGATAATGCCCAGAGTTTGCGCTGGGTAGATAAAGAGTTTGCAGAGAGGGGTAATGTTAACTGCAAGACCTGTTATGAGGGTCAAGATAAGGAGCATTTGAGAAATGCCCTTTTGGGGGGTAAATACAACTGCATCCCTCAATTTGAGGCATAGCGAAGAAAAACAATCTGGGGACCACATTGCATAACTCCAGAGAGTGTTTACCTTTTACTCAAAGAGGGAGCAAAATGGTGGTGACGGAAAAAAGGAAATCATTAAAGGGGCGGTCGGGGGGGGGAGGAGTGGACTCTGAGCCTGGAAATTCTACTTGGAAAAGACAGTCAGGCTCTAATTCCCAGGGAAACAACCCAGATCAAAGACTCACCTGGTGCTCTGCTATCGGGGCTATCAGGACTTTGGTAAGGCTGAGAATAGGGTAAGTATAGCCCGGGGCTTTGCATTTAGCAAACCCGTGGGCAGGAGTTTGCTTCTTGATGCACCAAGCTGGCAGCAAATTTGGAATTCTCCATCACGAGTTCAGAAACTTAACAGGCGTTTCTTATGCACTTCTTATAAAAATGGAAATCCATTAACTTCATTCTTCTTGCACGCTCTGTGACAGCATCAGGTCAAAGGGACTTTTTTCCTTCCTCTTTTCATGGCGTCCAGTCTCAATCCTTCTCCTTCAAAATCCTTTATTTTACAAAACAATAGGTTGTGGTGGAAGCCTGTTGCTAGTTGAAGATTCCGAACAATAGGTGTCTCTGAGCCGGGTTTATTGAAATGGTCTTGTCTGTGTCCTGGGGGGAGATTGTAAATGAGATGTCAACAGGAGTTCTTTTGTGCGGGTGGCATTCAGCCTGAAAGAGAGGAATTTCCTTACTGTGCTAGTATTTAAAGTAGATTTGTTGCTGCTTTGGCTAAAACTTTTTATCCAACTCCCGGAGCTAACGGCACTGAATGAGTCACTCGGCCTGATTGTGACTTCCTTCCCTCCTTAGCAAAGCACTGACTCAGTCATTTACATTTAGAAAGGAAGACTCCTAAGAAGATTTCTTGGATTTTCCTCAGCTTGAGCCTCTTTTCTAGACCATCACGTGGACCCGAGCTGTCAGCAATCCTGTAACCCCCAGGAGAGGGCAGGCTGGCCAGGCTGTTTTTCTCACTCCCGGGGAAAACTCCTGGCTGTTTTGCTTGCTTTCTTTTAAAATCCAAGAAGAGAGACAGTTTCCTGCCTTAAGCCTTTTCCTTTCTACCTCCCTCCCTTTTTTTCGGCGGTGGAGGGGTGGGGGGAGGAGGCGGTAAATGACAGGCAATTTCAGTTTACTATAATTACCACTGAGGTTTGACTAACTCTACCCTTAGAAGATAAGGCAACCGTTTTATTACCTCTCAGCCAGGTGCCTGAGGGTGACGAGCCTCGCCTTTATCTGGAGACCTGACAAGGTCTCAGCAACTGCAAATGGGCTGAATCTTTGAGCAGCGGCCATCCAAACGCTTCCCTTCTCTGTGATCCATTTCCCTGCTCTTTATTGGTAGTTAATTTTGATCCAAACACTAGTGCTGGTTTCCTCTCGTCTTTCCGCATTCCTCCACCTTACCAGTCATATTGCAATGCTAATTACAAACGGTGTAAATTACAAACCTCTGGCCCCAAGCATTCAACACACAGACTATTTTAACCTCCTCTGGTTTGGGAGATTTGCAGTGGGTATAGTTGCTTTTTCAAAGAGTTGATATTTGGTCAAATCTTTCACCTATGACAGTACACATCCAAAATAATCAAATTGTTTTGCCTTTACTTTCTCAGGCTCCTTTTGAGAAGTAAAATGTTATCCGCCTCAGGGGGCAGGGCAGTGCTTGTTTCAGGTGATAAAAATTTCTAGTGCTTGATCTATGTATGTCTGCCATTTGCTAACCCGTCTCCCCACCCATGGGTTTATTCTTTCATTCAAGATCTTACATGGGTTATCTCTGTTATCCCTTGGGTTGGAAATGCGGCATAAAAATGTACATTCTGAAAATAATTTTCAAACTGTGCGGGCTAGGTAGCACTTCAGGGAGTGAAGAGTGCCTTTGCAGATCAACTTTTAGGCAAGTATCCTACTTGGTAGCCAATTAGCACGGTTCCCAGCCTGGACCTAGCACAGAGCCACCCTCCTGTCAGCATAAATTATGGTGGGTCAAGGAGAAGAATGTTGGTTTTACTTATTTTGCTGGGAAGTAACTATAGCTTGAGGGCAGGGGATGAGAATGAGGCAGAACATGATGGAAAAGATGAGTGAAAACACATCCACACCACCTTGCAGATATGAGGTGTTTACCTACAAGAACACATGGGACTTTACCATTCTGGGCTTTATGTAGACAGCATCCCACCTTGTGGGGAAAGGTTGCTTGAAAGCCTCTCCTGACACCCCTGTTACCATTTCACAAAAATCAAATCAAGATGCTTCCGAATACAGTGTGTGAAACTAGTAAACGCCCAGGACTCCAACGCGGTCGAGGAAAGAGACACAATGTCAGAAGTATCATCACCCTGATCTTGGATTTCTCCTTTCCACCTACCATGCCGTGCGCACCACCACCCCTCACCACCGATCGGCTATCCTCTTGGTAGGCTCAAGGCAGGGCCTGGGAGGCCTCTGAAGGAGGAAGTCCGCAGCTGGGGCGCTTACTGCCAAAGGAGCGGGTAAACGTCATCCCTTCACGGGCACCCGGGTGGCTCAGCCGGTTAAGCATTCAGCTCAGGTCATGACCGCATGGTTGGTGGGTTCAAGCCCTGCATCAGGCTCTGCCCTGACAACGTGGAGCCCCCTTGGGATTCTCTCTCTGCCTCTGTCCCACTTGCTCTCTCTCTTTCTCTAAATACACTTTAAAATTTTTTAAGTTAAAAACATCATTCCTTCATCTGCAATTCTGAAAGCCATTGGCCAAAATCTGACCTTGGGGCTACCTGCGTTGTGACTGTTCTACCCCTTCCGGCAGACAAACAGGTCAGAGCACCTGATTAAGAGGTGCTGCCCTAGCCCCCTGGGGTATGTCCGGTATATTAGCTTCCCACAATCCAAAAAGTTCTGAATTCCAAGCACATGCAACCAAGGATTTCAGACACGGGCTTTTAGATACAGATGGTGTTCTCATAAGGGTTCAAAGGAGAATCTGAAAGACAAAACTATAAGGCAGCTCTTTCAAATCTAAGTAAGGAGGCTTTTAGATGGGAAGAACTCAGGTTCCAATCAGACTCCACCCTGGAGAACATGGGCAGCCTCCTGGTCACTTCTGGAATTGGATTTCTAGGTAAAGCACCTGGCTCTGTTAAATACTGTGAACAAGGATGATGATGGGGGCAGGTAGAGTAAATTGATAGAGATTTTAGTGAGGGCCTCATCAGTTTCCTGGGTTGTTTCACTTTAATGTTTTCCAAATGATAAACACCCAACTGTAAAGTAGAATTTTCAATGCAGCTCTTAAGTGGCCCTTGACCTATCAACGGTAAAGGCTGACTCGGGGACTGAACTCCTAGCTGAAGCACGGATGGGCAAAGAGCTCGTGGGACACCTGGACAGATTCTTCTCTGGATCTGTGTCCTCACCTGTCCGGGACACAGTTGGGTAATGAAGTGTCATTTTAAGCACTGATTCTTATTTGAGACTCAGCGGCGGGCTGGTATCCTTCCTGGGCGGAGTGGGCTGGTGCAAACGGTCTTCTACGGATTAACCCAGACAGTTTTCCTGTTTTCCCTTTGAAAAGGGGGGTTTCAGGGAGGAAAGAGGAATGGAGTAGGATGAATAATTAACTGCCTAACGACACACACCAGGGCGTCCTGTGGCCTCCCACATGCCCTGCTCTCCAGACCCAGGTAATTATTCCTCATCATACTAAAACCAACAGGAAGGAATGGTGGATGCATTTTCTTTCTTCTATACTTCCCCACACATCCTGTTTTCCCGGCTTTGGGGATTTGAGCTTGCCTTGTGCAAAAACTTCTGTTCCAGGCCAAGCCCTCCCTCCAGACCCTCCGTCCGCAGGGTAGCAGAAGTGGGTGGCTCTGATAGGGTTGCCCTTTCTCCAAAGCCCAAGGAGGCTGACCGTGAGCAGAGGGGTTCCCAGCAAATCCAGCTGGAAGTTTCAGTTAGGACTTAGCCTGACTGGACCCGTGAACTATGCCGATTTGTACACAGGTCACTCTGCACAGCCACCTCACTTTCTCAAGGGGCACAAGTTGGCATTATGTGCCTGATACCCAACTCCCAGCTACCGTCAGCTACTCCACACAGACCCGGGGTTAGGTAGGCTTGAGTGCTCCTTTGTTTACCACACACACAACGACATGGCAGGAGGGTCCTGTTTGGTTGTGTGATTCCATTCCAGATTTTTCCTGGTATTCCAGGCTCCAGGTCCCATTGTGCAGGTGATACTAATTCTCATGAAATAAGACCAGGAGGTAAAGAAAGTTCTTGGCTCTCGGATATCCATCTTGTGCAAGCAGAGAACAGCAGAATAATGAGAAGGCAAAGAAAGGCAGCTGCGTGGGACAAGGGCAGCTAGCATCATCAGCCCCTCACATGGCCATTTGCTGAGGGCCCGTGGGCAAAGCCAAACAGAAGACGGAGGAAGTTAGGCCAATAATCCACAGGAACAACTGCGTTCAGCTAATACTAGGTTGGGCTTTTGCATACCAGCTCATGGCAAAAGATGGCCGGTCACAAATGCACTTGGCCAGCACTCGGCCAATGCCAGACAGAGATGGGCATCAGTGACAGGAGATTTTATTGCAGTATCCAAGGTCACAGAGAACGGCTTTGCTGAGTATTTACTTTACTTCTACCCTGATGACCTCCCTCTCCTATTCGTCCCTTTCTCTTTTTCTCCAGGAGGGGTCTTCTCATCCCTGTTCTTTCCTTCATGTAACCAGCATTTTACCACGGTGCTACTATGTGCCATGCATGTTCCAAGCACTGTAGTCATAGTGAACAAAATGGACAACGATGCTGACCAGGTGGTTCTTACATCCTTAACTAATTCCTTTCTCAGTCTCATCAGAAAAAAAAAAAAAAAAAAAAAAAAAAATCACCTAAGAGAATATAGGCAAGTGTGGCTGAGAAGTGACATCTGACAAGAAATGAAACCTAGTTGAAGAGAAGCTTAAAAGACAAATTTCCTTCCCCACTCCTGGCACCATCCCTATCCCAGGCCTCGTAGGCAATGCTGTCCTTCAGCAAGACCGGGTCTGCACTAACCTGAGGAGATGGTTGACCAGCTGCCCAAACAGGAAACCTTATATAATTCTGTAACCCTGACCTTGGGCCCTGAATCTTCCCCTCCTGTAAACAATCCATTCCATCCAGGAAAACCTGCAGATTGGCTGGGACAAATTTTGAAAAACACACACAATGTGACGAACGTTGAAAAAAAAATCCCTAAGTCCTACAGGAAGTGATACATCTGATTCACTGGTAGAAATCACTTCATAAAGTGATGGAACAAATGGAAATTTAATCCTAACACATGAAACTGCCAGGGCAGTCACTTATGTACATGGATGACTCAACAGCACCTGTTGGAAAGACCGGGAAAATGAGCCGTGAAATCCTGATCACATTCCTTTCTGGAAGCAATAGCCCTGCCTTGCAAATTAGTAAGCCCAGTGTTCTCAACATCCCGACTTCAACATTTGTGCCTCGTTCTTAAGAAGGCTATGACTCACCGTGGCTACTGGTCAAATGATTCTTACTCAGAGCCGTGGGCTTTAATCTTTAGCATTAAACGGTCTAGGCAAATACTAGCCAAATGTCTGTCTACTTTCAAGATGTTCCTTTGAAATGATTGATTTCAGGCAACAACTGGTTTTCCATATGGTAACCCTCAATTTCTAATATTATTTCACTTGTTGCCAAGTTTCATTAAAAGTCCACATTAGAAGCTTCAGACCTCAGTCGCTGGACCTGGGCCTTCTAAAATGACTTTCCTCCAAACACCATTTAACTTCCTTTAATTTAGTTAATTAATGGAACTTTCTGAAAAGCACTGTTACTTTGATCTGAACCTCTTGCTTTAGTTTCCAGCTAACATTTCCAGGGAGGGAGAAAGAACGGATGCCCTCGCAACTGGCTGGGGCTAACAGCAGCTCACAACGTTGGCCATCCCTCCAGATCAGAGACATCTGAAGGGGAGTACTTGAGAGGAAGAAGACTGGTTAAAAATAATGCCCTCGGCATTTCTGTGGGTGTTTGCCCCACACGGAGATAAAACAGCGAAACCGGTACTGCAAGCCATAGGAAGCTCGGCCTGCAGTCTGGAAATCCTAAATAATCCTTGCAAGTAGACCAAGTGGAAGCCAAAGATGAGATTTAGAAATGCTTCTGCCCAAGAGAAAGTTTTCTGCATACAACTTACAAAATCAGATAAAAATTAAAACCGGAAAAGGCAACTCCCAGCAGGAATCCTCAGTTTCTTGGCTATTAATCCTTGCTGCCATCCATCCAACCAAATGGCTCGGGTAGTTCTTGCTTGCCTTTCAACTTGCCACCACAAAAAAACGTTACCCTAGCTGCTGTTCAGAACAAAACAAAACCCACAACCTCAACCCGGAGATCTTACGCTGCAGCAAGGGTAAGATTTTTTGTGAAGGCGATCGGTTCAAAAGCAAGACATTCTGAATCGTGACCAACACTCTTTGTGTTCTTTTGGAAGGCAAGACTAGCAAAGGAGTCCACCCCTTTCCATAGCGTGACTTACCTTGGAGCTGAGCCGCGGATTTCCAAGTACCTCGCTGAGGTTCCGAGCTTGGCCACAAGGCGGCACTCGAGAGTAGGGCTGCCCGCAAGCAATACCTTTTTCTCCAGTCTCTCGGC